ATAGTCTGACAGCATTGCCCACAAAAGTAGTCATACCTAAACCCACACTCTAACAGAGCTCGAAAGGTCCATATTGAATAGCGTGATGCAGGCTATTGATGATAAAACAATCATCGGATAGTTGGTTGTTCCTTGCTGCTCTGGATAGCTGCGCCCCAGGACTGTCTCAAAAGTTTATTACATATCGGAGCACAAAGTCAAGTTCCCATCTGACTGCAGCATCTGGAAGCCCCTAATTGCACACATTTCTAAAATACATGTAGCCAGTCCGAGCTGAAGAGCGGCTTGGTATTAGCAGTGCAGAGGTCAAATGTAGCAATATTTAAGAACTGGTTTGGACAATACCTTTCCTAGGAAAAATCATAATAAAGGCAAACAAGAGCAACGCAGCATTTAAAAGTAGGTATTTTGCAGTCTGAAAATGTGAATGTTTTAATTACCCCGCGAGGGCGTTTCCTTTAAGCGGCTTTAATTTTGGTGCAGAGACAATGTTCAACAATAACAATTTCCCCAGGTTAGAGGTTGATTGTTCGGGGTTAGCTCTGGGAAGACAGCGATCTGGAGCTAAGCAAATTCCGCCTTAAAAGCTGCACCAGAGGTGAACATTTGCAGAAAATATTAAATCAATTGGATTTCCTCCCAAATCATTATTAACGACGCATCATACCTATATGGGGATTGTGTAGCTTTTAACCCCCGAGTGCTAAGGTTGGGCTGTCTGCTCGCAAACCTTAATAACAATAATCCAGTCTGGAGTGTTGCATCTCATTGAAATCGTCTCTCACCCGAATGAACTGCAAATTATCCCCTGTTTACAATCTCTCTTCAGTGCTCATCTCAATGAACTGGAGATCGATTCCCCCCACCACGCTTGTCTTCCAACCAGGCTCTGATTTGCATTGAGGGACTTTATAGATCCTACCACCCCCGTCTAAAAAATAAATAAATAAATAATAATAATAACGCCACCGAAAGAAATCTCCAAGGTATGTCGGGGGTGGGGGGAGGAGAAAAATCTGTCACTGTCATTTAAAGCTTCAAAAGGGTGTAAAAACCCTTTTTTGGGGTTTTTTTTTTTTCACTTGTTTTTGCAGTGTAAAAACAAGATCACTGTATTTACGTTTGTGAATACTCACAACTTGTGTTGGAGACAATGACACGTAATTGATGTATTGCCATCAACAACAATAAAGACCAATTCTTCTCTCTCCCCGCAAACAGCGCTCCCCCCTCGCCCCCACCCCTCCGGCCCCCAGCAAAGGGGAGGAAAACAAACAATAAATAATCACCCGGGCTCCGATTAAACCGTAAGAGACTGACTGGGGTATTTTATTTTGATCCTGGCGAGGGAGCAGAGAAACGAAAAATAAAAGTTATCAAACTGAATCTCTTCAGAAGAATTTGCCTTTCTCCAAACCATTGTTTTTATTTTATTTTATTTTATTTTATTTAATGAGCAAGTTCCGGCTTTGATACGTACCATACTGACTGCACAGCGCATAGGGGGGAATTGATGCTAAAACACCTCAATCCACAAATATGGAATGAAGTGGGAAATGGGAATAATTTTCAGGCAGGGGTTAGGGGAGGGGGCAGCGGGGATCGGACAGAGGAGCTGATGGAGTTGGAAATACAGAGAGCGGGAGGGACGTGCAAGTGGAGGCGCGTGTGCGGGGCGCCCGCCCGCGCAGGCATGTGCGGAGCTGGGGAGCTGCTAAGTTTCTGTCCGGGTGGATCGGCTTCTTCCCGGGGTGCGCGAGGGAGGAGGCGGACCCCGGCACGGAGTAGATCCATCTCTGCCCAAAGAGCTCTTTAAATATTCAGTGAAAAATAATGTCATGTGAAGTACCACCTATAGCAACATTATTATCTTCATTCTTCAACATCATCCCCGCTGATAGCTTCGTTTGTCTTTTTATCAAAATCTACTGGACCCAACACGGTTTGGGGGGAGAGGGGGGGCGGGGGGCATCCTATACGTGAAAGCAAAGCAGTGGCCAGTTTGCAAGACCTGACTAGATATTTGGAAAGCACTTGGTCCTTGGTTGATTTGGGGTTTTTTGTTGTTGTTGTTGGGTTTTTGCAGGGGGGGTGTGTTCTGCTGCTATTTCAGCGATCTTGGCAGTCACTTTCAAGTCTAGTCCCTTTGCTAATCAGGAGAAGAAAACCCGAGCGAGGCGGTTCCTCGACTGGAGCGGTTCTGTCTCTCGCTCTCCTCCTCTCTCGCTCTCGAGGTTTTGCCGGCTCATTTGAAATTGAAATGAGTTATATCTGAGATCAGCCTCTTGCTTTTCCAGGGACTTTGTTAATATTAATACGGGGGAAAGGAGCAGTTTCTCTTGCTGAGTAAATAATCCGGGGGGAGGAGGGGGGTGGATGGGCCAGGGCGAGGGG